TTGCTGTCTGGAGTTTATGTGTGTTAAATATTAGAATTTAGCATAATTTCAGTGGTCAGAAGCCAAATATTCTCAAAACGCACCAGTCAGCCCAACAACTCCAGCATCACTTCCATTGCATACACAACTTCAACACTCAAGAAGGCATTTAGTGCACACAGTGTACGACATGTAACTAACGGCAGTATCCAAAATGAGTCCTGCCACAACTGTCGCCAGTGTGAAGCCATTAAAATGGGAATTCAAGGAGCCTGTGGCTGGAATAATACCTTCAGTTTTACATTAAGTCTGGGCAGGTCCCATTAAAGGCTAGGTTATGTCTCAACATCAAATGTCACCAGGAACAAGGTTCTGCCTCAAGCACTCCTCCACTACAATGGTACTATGAAAAATGAACAGCAGGTCCTAGTTCATATCAAATGACACAAATGCATCTGTTTAAATAAACTTCTATAATAACAATCTACTATCCTGTGCTATGCCATCATTTTTGTAGTTTATGAAATCTGATTAAATGAACCCGGGATCAGCATATTATAAATACATCATTCTTATTATTACCCTTAGTTAAGCTACCACAGGCCTAGTTTTTGGGCCATGATGCACTGGATGGTTCTTATTCATTCACCTCTTTTCACTCACTGTGTTTATAAACCACTCTGCATTTAATTGTTAGTTATTACAAATCTGTGGCTCTCTCCCACAGTGTCTTTTGTCCTGTCTCCCTCCATTGTAGAGTATTTACACCTTGAGACAACTACTGATAAGTTATATTAATGTATAAATATTACATTTAAAGTAAGTAGAAAGTGTTTTTAACCATCTGTGACATCATATAATCGCTATCCTTAAGACACACAGTCTAAGAAAAACATGGCATAAGAAATGTGAGCCAAATTGGAGGAAATATAAAACCTTTAAGCAAAAAGGTTTGGGGTTTACCTGATCTCTGAGATGCTGGACAGACTTCTGCAAGGCCAGGATCTGATGGAAGAGGGGGCTCTGGAGCACTGACTTGAGCAGGCTGAGCTTCTCCTCAGTGGGCACTTCTCCCCGCTCCTTGAGTTTGGCCTGGAGTCGCTCCACCGCCTGCAAGGCACGCTGCGTGTCTGCAAACCGTCGCATGTTTCAGTGACGGCGCCAGAGTGAAGGCGACGACGCAGGCAGCCGGAGGTGTGGGAGTGACAGAGGTGGAGAGAGGTGGAGAGGACAAAGACTTCATCAGTTCATGGGTGAAGATAGCGAGGGTGGGAAGAGTGTTTGGATATTACCTAATTTATTCAGTTAGGCATCCTGATTTAATTATTAAGAGGATTCTTTTTTTAAAAAAAAGCCTCCACAACCATTTGAAACATAACTTTAACATATTTATGTTTAACAATAATTCAATGACTTGTAAATGTATAGATGGAAAAATACGCAGTCACATATCACAAACTAGGCTTAGTTAAGGCTGGTTGACTCTCAACAGGCCTATATCAAAATCATGTAGCCACAAGTTTTTGCACAGAAGAAAAAAAAACTCAATTTTCAATGCACTGCTTGTTTTCGGAATAGCAATGTTTCCTTTTCTTGACTTTAGGGTCAAATGGTGGGTTACACAGGAGCGTAGAATGAATGGTTATCAGGAGGAAAAGATAAAAGGACTGGGACCTCCACGCTTTGTTCGCTGGATCCTCTATAAGCCCTACAACCGAGTAACTCCAGAGTGGCTTGTTAGTAAGGATGGGCCAGCCAGATGTCATCTGAGCAAAAATGAAGCAATTTCAGAAGCTCACCAACTGTGACTAACACCTAATAGGCCGTGCACGAGGTCCAAAACACTTTTTGCACTGAAAAGCTTTGTTGCTTGAACAAAAAGTTGTAAATAGGCCAATAACACTTGAGCCCTGTAAGATTTTTTCTGCTCACCACTGGTTTAGTCCAGACAAATGTAAAATTTCCACTGTCCTTCCCTCGATGTGTATAATTAGGAATACTAAATCAATGTGGCATGGACAGTTGGGTCCATAAGTGTCTGAACAAAGACACTTTTCCACAAAAGTACTGCATTAACTGTTTACGAATTACAGCCAAGCTAACATAATTTTTAATATAAGGACTGTAAGAACCCATTAGCATAAGTTAATGCTGTTTTTCGCCCGTGTAGATGCTGCTAGGTGTTTACTGCAGTCACCTTCATGTGCTGCTTGTTTGAAGCCCTTTGCTGCAATTAGTTTTGTCTTTAGTAACTGAAAAGCATGCTCTGTTGAACACTAGGTCACTTACATGTTCATTGAATTGATTCTGTAGTATGCTTTGGGTCATTTTCCATTCACACTCTAAAACACCATCCAACCAGTTTTGCATTTGGCTGAATCTGAGAAGTGTATAGCTCTTTATACTTCAGAATGTATCCTGCTTTTACCAGCAGCCACATCAACAATAAACACTTGTGACCTAGGTCTACTGGTAGCCTTACATACCCATAGAATAACACTGGCTTCGTGTATGCTTTGGATCGTGAACTGTTCCTTGCCTTCTCTATGCTTCTCTCTTCCCATAATTTTGGTTTAACTTAACCTTGGTTTCATCTCTCAAAAGACTTTTTTCAGAACTGTGCCGGCTCTTTTCGATTATTTCTGGTCTAGTCAAAGTCTAATCTGTCCTTCCTGGTCTTGGGGGTAACCAGGAGTTTGTACCGTGTTGCATGAAGGCATCTCTTGATTGTATGATATGCCTACATCCCGGAGTGTAGTCTTGACTTGGTTATATGTTGTTGCAAAGTTGTTTTGATTAGTCGTTGAAGTAATTCTGTAACTACCCACTTTAGTTTTCTTTCGATGTTGAATGCACCAGACTGACGAACTCTCTGACAGGTTTATTTGGGTTTTTTAGCTTAATGATGGTGTTCCTCATTTGCATCATTGTCTCTTTAAAACCTCAGATTGAGTGTTCTATTGAACTGCTAATGCTGGCATAAAGTTCAACATTTGGACTCATTACTTTCCTCATAAATGAGTAATGAGGGAATCGACCTCACCTGCCAATGAAACTGCTTGTCAGTCGAATGTCCAACTACATTTGAACGTCTGAAAATGGGGTGCTATGTATAAAAATGGGGTAATTCCTAAACAGTTAATGCAAAACTGTTGCAAAACCCCTTGAATTAAAGTTAAAAGTCTGCACTTCAGTCACATCTTGACTAATTTAATTAGAAATCCACCGTGTCTGTGTACAGGGGCAAAATCACAAATAATGCGTCACTGTCCAGAAACCTAAGGACCTAACTATGTGTGAGTTTGCAGAAGAAAAGGTGGTCCTTGAGCAAAGCCTAGGAGTCACAGATACATCAGTCAAATGTGCTAATTGCCATAGACCTACCGGGAAAGAAGATGACATTTACCAATGGCAGGAATAATGAGCTGACTAAATGTTTAACTGTAGAGTGATAAAGAGTTTAAATACTTTAAAACAAGCTTCTTTTTTTGTGGAACCCAACCAATAAATCTGTATTTTCAGCCAAAATGGACTTATTAAAGATCTGGAGCTATATGAAAACTCTGATTTTGTTTTTTAATAATAACGCAGAAACTATGCTTAGGCTAACTTAGAATTAGTGTTATCAGTTTTTCCAGCAGAGCAGTGCCTGGAGCACAAATATTCATCACAGTTCATCATTTGCAGCTGACAAACACACAGTCAACATTCCCGTCCTGAGAGTGACCACAGATTGCTGTTTTAAGGAAAGAAGCTGGCAGCACCAATTTGGCATCATGCTTGACAGTTGGGCAAATAAATCTCTATGGGCACAAACAAACAATCAAATTTATGGCAACATTATCAGATATGGCAACATTGGCAGCCCACGAACATTGAACTGAATCCAGGGCCTCTTACGCTGGTTGAGAAAACTCTCAGCTTAAGCCAAATGTGCAAAGCACAGCCAGCAGAGACGGACACCCAAACGCCCGTGCAAAAACTGCTCATTTTTAAAAGAAGATTTTCTTTTTTTTTGATTATGGCAGTGTTGAATCTTAATTAAACCGAGTACTGGTACTGGATTCAGCAGTCTGCTATCATGACCACACTCAACCCTAAAGCTGGTTCAATCATGGATGAAATCATGAATATTTTATAGATGCCTGGCATAAAACAATTCAAAAACCAAATACTTACCCATTGTTTCTATCATTTTTAGAGCGCCGGATGAATGTGTAGTTTTCCCTTCATCGAGGCCTGAAAATGACAAATTCAGTATTTAATGTCTTTTTGTGAGCAATCAGAGAACTAAATATTAGACCACTAATTCATGCTGTTTTCTTTTATTTTTAACTCCCATAAAGCTCTTGGAGCAAGAAAAATGGCTCATGCTCCTCCTGGGTTCTCCTCCCAACTTACACATTTTCTGTTCAAAAGATTAACATTAAAAAGAAACTAGATTTATTTCATTTCTGTTAGGTCCATATTTATCTCTGAAGAATGCTTCACTGTGTGCATCAGAGCACCATTGTGCTGAAGAACTGTCCCAGTTTGTCGAGTCTCTCGACAAACCGGCTGCCAGAAAAGCGCTTCTACTCAAGCTTCTTAGTTCCCTTGTATTCCACTAATGCTCTTATTGATGAATAAATACTAAGTAATTTACATTACTGAAATTTCATACAGATGAAGCTTGAGTATCCATTTTGCTTTTATCAGATAAATATCATCTTACTTCATACAACCCTGATAATTAATTATCCTCTCATACAACAATCTTATAAGCTGCTTTAAAACTAACACAACACCCTGCTAACATGACAATTTTCAGATTTAATTGTTGTTCATTTTTTTCCTTATAAATTAAAAGTTTACACTGACTTTTTATTTGCAGTGTTACTTAGCTCATAAATGAGTGTTTAAACTGTTGGTTAATATTAGGAGTGGGGGGTGGGCAAGCAGATAGAGCACAGTATTGCACTAATTTAGGTGGTGATATTGTATTAGTTCTGCGACACCAAAAAAGACATTTTTATTAGCTAAATTAAAATTCTTTGGGGACTGCTACAAACAAGATGGATCATCTCGTGCAACACCAATCTGAGATAATGGTAACTGTGCAAACTTACTTTACACTGGCTCGACCAAACTTGTGATTGTCCAGAGGCTTGAGGGTGATAGCACAGGTCACCTGATACGAGGTAACCTTTCTGCAAATAGTTGCAGACTGACTTGGAATGACTGCAATCGCTCTCATTGTCAAAGGTTTGCAAATAAATGCTGTCTAATTTACAGATAGATTGAGTCTTTGTCAATGAGCACAACGCGAGAGGACTCAACTCCACTGGCTACCAGTTGTTTGTATTCTGGTTATATTCCCGTAGAACCGGAAGGCTGCTGAGTGTAAATGTAATAGTTAAATGTTTCTGTGTATGCACACAGATTGCATGTAATTGTCAAACTGACCTCAATCAATCAAGATTGATATCAGACTTATAGCACAGTGAGCTGGTCTTATGGCAACATTAATGTCAGGTTTTAGTGACAGTGCTGGTGTGTTTAATTGTCATTTGCCTTTTCATTATCATTGAACAACAACATTATGGTGGTTACCACTGGCTTTTATAATGTCTATGGTAACACACAGCAAAAGAGGAAAAAAGCGCTTATATTCTGCACAAAAAAGTACCTAAAGGGATACCTAAAGGGATATCTAAAGGGAACATCTCCCACCCCATGCAGGAGACTCTGACAGCACTGAGCAGCTCCTTCAGTGGGAGACTGCGGCACCCACGGTGTGGGACGGAGAGATTTCGCAGGTCTTTCCTCCCCACTGCTGTCAGACTCCACAACAAAGACTTTAACTGATCAAACACACACATCCACACATGTGCAATAACACTAAGTGCAATAATCTTTTCTGGCATCGTTATATTTTTACTCAGTTGTATATAGCATTTGTATTCTATTTTTATCTTATTGTATATTTTATTCTATTTTATTCTACTGTATATAGTATTTTATTTTATTTTATTCTGTACAGTTGTGTACTGTATTTATTCTTATTGTATTCTAATTTTTGCTTCATAACTTTTACATTGTCCACTTCCTGCTGTGACAAAACAAATTTCCCACGTGTGGGACTAATAAAGGTTATCTTATCTTATCTTACCTGATTGTGAAGTAATCAGCTCATGAATTTATAGTTATTATTTTAAATTCCCTAAAAGCTGCTTCAGTAAATCACCCTTGCTATTGACTGGTGTCATCGTGCTTACTGTTCCTTTCAGACACATATTTTCTGACTATTTTACCTGGAAAAAGTCTTAATTTACCAATATTTCATTGTACCATTGTGCTTGAAATCAAAGTCTCATTTTGCACAATGGGTGGATTCAAACATCTATGTGAAGTCTGGCTATTTGTTCTATCTAATCTGTCAAAATATATATATATATCTTTGTGAAACTAACTCCAAATGCTGCCTTGGAAACAAAAACCTGTTACCTTCAAAGTGCATGCAATCAGATCAGAAAGGCAAGAGAAAGGAGCAGTGACTCCTCTACTATGTAAAAAAAAGCCAGTGCCAATAAGCTCATAAAGACTCCCGGTGCCTTTAAAGCTTTAAAAGCTAACAGTAATGCATGATGAAGGTGATCATGTTGTTTATATTTGACTAATTCTTTTAAGGAGTGCTTGCTAACAAAGCCCATGCAGGGAACATCGCACTTGGCTGCAGAGAGTGCCTTTGTAAGCAAGCGTAATATGACTCAGGGAGACGTTACACGATTAAAGGAGATTGCTCAGACAATTAAAAGCCCCGTATAGACTCTCAGAATAGCTGCAGTATCTGTGGCAAAAGGATCACCACAGCTCTGGATTGTTTATGCATTTGCTTCACTCATCACTACATGTGTCCTACCCTTTATGCTGAGTGATGAGCTAGTATGTTAGCCGTGTATTACACTCATGTAGTGGTGTGTTTATGTAATAAATCTGCCTTCACACGCACCTTACAGTCACTTGTGGCAACAGTAGTATACTATATGTGTTTTTTTTTAATGACATATGTGGTTCAGTGTCTGAAAGTAGCTTTACCATTCCTTAAGTGAATCACTTAAGGATGCACACACTATAGTGGTATGTTATGAATCACAGAAGGCCGGAGGAGCTCATTAGCCGCTATTACACACTAGATATCAGCCTCCAAAAAAGTAGTTCAGCTCCGAAGGTAGCATTTCTTTGCTAAAATAATCATTAGTGAGGTTTGTGGCGAGTATAGTTAGCTAATAAAAAAACGCAGTTATTTTATCGCGGAGTTCCTACCCACCAAAAATCAAAGAAATTAGCACTATACCCGTGTTATTTCTTGTTTAATAAAGCGTTTAGTACGTCGTATTTGTTTAAAGCTGGTATATCCTGCCCAGGTTCGGTGGTGTTTTGAATACAGTCGACAAGGCACTCGGGACAATCCGATTTTCTCAACCCCTCCTCCTCCTCCTCTTTCCCCATCTCATCTAGCAAGAAAGCAACAGGCTTCCCGACGCGGGGACGGGAAAGAAGTTACACACTATCAGGGCTCTGTATGGCCACAGAAAATCGCCCAAGCTGGCTTCTTGCAGTATATATAAACACTTTTACTTGAAAAAAAGCCTCTTGGATCTATTTAAAGGCAGCCTGGTGTGATTATGTGGCCAACCGCTACAGAAGACGTCTCACAATATTTTCCTCTAATTAGCGACATTAAAGCTAACAAAGGGGGTGTCTAGCTTGAGAAAAGCTGAAGTTAGTACACACCGAAGACTTCAGTAACGTTTCCTTAAGCGAAACCCGTTTAAAGAGAGTCACTTACATGAGTGTGGACGCTCTGCTTTCCCGGCGGCCAGGATCTTGAGCTATCCTCTGTTGTCCTGCGGCTAACGGCGCACTGACTGGGGCTTAAAGATGGGGCGTAGAGTAACTCGATCCTCTGTGGACACTTCCAGCGATAGCCGCACCGACAGTTCAGCTGGGGCTGAAGCGCCGCTTGCTGGCTGCCCTGACAACCAGGCCCCACATACATGGAAGAAGGCCTGGCTGCAGGGCCAGAGCTAAAGTCCCAAAAACAAAGCAAACTCACATAAACTTTAAATGCACACTTAAAAAGAAGTGCAATTTCAACAGTACAATTAAGTTTGTCTGCAGAACAGAGAAATCCTGCTCCTGTAAATGAAATAACTATTTGTGTATAAATTGTAAGAAATAAATGTGTAAAATTATCCAATTTCTCAGATTAAACTGTGATTATAACACTTTTTTGGGGGGGTTATTTAATAGAAAAGGATCTTGTTTCAATTAGTGTTAGAAAAAACCCAGAAATGTATATAGATTTTTTAAAAACATGAATCTTTCTGTTATTTAATTGCTTATTTGTTAGTTTGGTGTATTATTAATGAAAACAAGGGATTTCTTTATCACTAGGAAGAGCTGTAAAACCTTTCAAAATACAGTTTAAAGTAAAAAATTTATGGCCTCCCTCAAATTTTCCAAAGCTGTCCAGTGAGCCAGATCGGAGTCTTCGCTGGGTGGAATTTGGGAGGGGGTGAGAGGTAATGTCTGTAATGGACATTATCTTGGCTACCATCCTCTCACCCATCACCTCTATGGAGTCTAGGGGCTGGCCAGGATGGAGCTGGCCCTCTTTACCAGTCTATGCCTTCTCCTGCCAAAGTGCCACCCGACTTAATAGATGCTGTAACAAGAGAGACAGAGGGGCATGAGGGGTTAACCTGGCCTGCCTATAAACCGACGTTTAAGTGGAGAAAAGACAGCAGAAAACAGCTCTCCAAGTGCTTTCATGGGGCAAACAACAGGAAATTACAGATAAATCACAGCAAAACTTTCACAGAAGGTTATTACCTGAAAAAAGTTGGTCTGGGAGACAAACACACACAGCCCAGCGATTTTGTCCGAGGCAGTTAAACTTGGCCCTTAAAATTATTACTTTTGAGGAACACCTGACCTCAGCGACCCGAACGTGAATCACAGGTGCAGAAGTGTATTTGTTTAAGTGCCCTTGAGCAAACACACAGTCTCTAAAATGCATAAAATACACTATAAAGGAAGAGTAATATTGCGCTCATTCATATTAGATATATTGAAGTCACCGTGAGGCCCATGCCTACCATGACTGGAGCCCGGGGATGTATTTGTTTTAATAATTCATGTTTTCTCTGCATTTTTTTTATATGCTGCACTAATTATAAACAATTCAACGAATTGTTGGAACGGTTTTCAGTCAATCCAAAGCATTTGTGTGAGAGTCCAATCAACAGGGCAGTTTATGCTTCTAATTAAATATGACTCCCATGCACTGCTAGCTTGTTAACCACATACAGCTCACCCACACACTTACGCATGAATACTTCATGCTGCCACCCACACAAGTTCATGGAAAAGCTAGATATTTGTCTAATATGCATTTAAGTGTAATGAACAGTATACTCTGTGCTTTTATTACTTCACAAGATGATGTGATTTTAACTCAAAATGCAGAACATTTAGTAGACACGAGAAACAAACTTGTCATCTGTTAATTGTGACTCAGATCTAGCAGCACAACAGAAATGTAGCAGTGCTGTAATTTGCATTGTTTTCCACATTGTTGCAAAGAAAAAGCAACTATTAGGCACTGGCTGGTCAAGAAAGCCTCTTAATACTATTTCTGCCCTCTCCAGAATTGCTTTTATTTTCATGGATCAAGACCTGAGAGGAGAGCAGGAAAGAACAGGGTCAGTCTGTAAAAAGTCATTTCACCAACAGGGAGAGGGATACAAGCTGCTTTCAGGGAGCTGATACTGACTAAATCCCTTCACCATTTATATCTTTACTTCCACCTCCCTGCTTATCCACCCTGTAACTCCCCTCTTACTCTGACAATAAGCCACTTTTATGTGGGAGGTCTGACTCAGCCAAATGCTGAGAAAGACAAGAGATTGAAACAAGATAGAAAGGAAGAGAGGGGAAAAAAAACATCTTAGCTCAGTGTTAAGCAGCTTCAGCATTTTATATTTTTATACCTGCCTGTCACAGGCCTTCAGCATTAGTCATTGTTTGAGACAGCCTAGTTAAATCTGTCATAAATCGATTCAGATCTCTTTTTCTCAATACTCTGAAAAAGGATTATTTTAGCAGCATTTAACTGTTTTTTGGACCAATTCAGCATTTGATGTACAAAGCTTTGCAAAAGTCACGAATCATCGCTTATTTCCTTATATTTTGCTTCCAAGGAGCCAGGTTTTATTGCTCTTGAGCAGTAGTTCTCCAGGCTTTCTGAAGGTCTGTCATAGTTTATCTTTGGTCACGGGCTGCTTTTTACTCATTTTCAGTTACGTTTGAATGATTCATTGGTCAGTGTTGAGTGACTTAACGTTAACTTATGAATCAGAGCCATGACCTACAAATGAAAAAGGCGCCTAACTCAAGGGAGTGTCAACTAGTGCTGTGTATACACATAAAAGACAGTTTACCAAAAGAACAATTGCTAGCACAAAAACAGGTGATTTGTTCACATTTCTTTAGTGGAGTCTATAAATAATGTCGAGGATAACACGGTTTGACAGGCATAAAATAGTATTTTTGCATCAACAGGATGATTCCCACAGAGATATTAGCTGAAAACTTGGCATATTTCAGCACAGCACCTCAGAAACTGGACAAGTGGAGCATAGAAGAAAAAGTAGCAGACCTAAAACGTTATCTATTGCAAATGAACAGTATGTGAAAGCAATGTCCTTAAGAAAAAGGTGGGAAAAAGACAGCAAAGAGTTGACACAGGACATGAGAGATGCTACTGGACCTTCAGTTGATCCGTTTACTGTTACTGAAGCCTCATCAGAAATAGTCTCAGTGAAAGACTGGCTGTCAAGAAGCCTTTCTTAAGAAAGGGAAACAGGGAGAAAAGCCTGAGATATGCCAAATTACATAACAACTGGACTGAAAATCAGTGCCAACAAGTCTCATGGAGCGATTAATCCACATTTGAAATTTTGAGTTCAAATCATTGTCAACAGAGGCACTATGATGGGTTGGAGCTGCATTTCAGTCAGGGACTCAAATATTATTTACAGAAACAATGAATTGGAAACATAATTACACAGAAACGTACAGTCAGATTTTGATCCACCATGCAATACCATCTGGAAATGACTGACTTAATTTTTTAACATGACAATGATCCCAAACACACTGCCGTTGCATTAATATTATACCTGGATAGAAAAACACACAGTGGAACATTATCAGTCTTGGATTGGCCTCCTCAGAGCCCGGACCTCAACGTTATTAAAGTCATGTGGGATCCTCTTGACAGGGAACAGAACAAAAGGGAGCCAAAGAAGAACTTTGAATGTCCTTCAAGGTGCCTGGAGAACTATTCCTGAAGACTGCTGAAAGAAATTATTATTATTTCACATTTTCTGAGCAAAGGAAAGTTCAAGTTAGTTGTTCAGTTCTGCATTTTATACAATTTATTATGATTTAAATTTCCAAGTGTTCAAAAATATGAATATAAGAAAGTAAAATGTGTCAGTACTTCAAATTTGATACTCGTCTGTGTCCAATATCAGAGTTGGTGTAATTTCTAGTACAACAATCTAACGTTGCACCTTACACATATAACAATAAACTCCCGGTTGTGTTGGGATCAAAGTCTTTCTATGTGACTGTGCTAACAGTAACAAAGGTACTGGCACACTTAATATCCATGTTAACATGATTAACACTATTACCAACATATATGTTGTGTGAATAGTGTGCAGAAAGCTAATACACAGTACTTTGCACCACTTACGTTCACACAGCCTGATTGCAATTGACTGTGGAGATTAATCCGACGAGTGATTATTCAAGGGCGCTGTGATTCAGCAATACAACAACATTTTTAAAAATCACAGTAATTTCCTCTACACTGCACGAAAACTACACATTTGCATGAAAAGTACAGCTTTCTAGATATCATGTTTTATTGGAAACACACTTGCTATATGAAGTCATATGGTGTAATAAAAAAAAACAACCTGAAGGAATCACAAATTCAGTGTCTGAATCATATTGGCAGAGTGAGTGCTGGCATTGTCTGACTGTCTTGATTTATTGCCAATAAATCCATCAACATTCAAATAGCCTTTGGAACAAAATTTTCCCAAATGGTATAAAAAAGCTCACGGAAAGATCTGAAAGTCGTACTTTTATTTTTCATATTAAAAGGTCCAGCCTGAATAATTCACTAAGTACTTCTGCAGCACTCTATAATACAGCTTCTTGACCACTGTGGGAGTGCGTGTTGGGTCAGTGCTAGTAAATGGCAAAACAAAAGGAAAAGACTAGAAGATTTAAGAGTTTTAAAACTAGAAGGTTGTCTTGATGGTGGCCTTACAGTAGGTATTTCTAGTCTTGTATCAGTAGTTCCTCAGGGTCAGAAAACTGAAAATTGGAAGTTTGGCCTGATATTGTCGTCGAGCAAAGGTCACATGAATCGTAGGAAATCAATAAGCCTGGTCCTGTTGGGAATGTGAATGTGCAGATGGAATTTAATGCCGGTCTCGGGGCTACTTTTGAAGATTTTAGACACTTTGAGAGGTCGTTTTGTGTCTTGGAGGGTTTAGTCAGAAGGAAAGTCATAGGGTCACCCAAAAATCAATCACCCTCTGCCACTTGAGAGCATCAATGTCCGTGGCAAATGTCAAGCCAATCGAGACATAAAAATAAAATCAAATGAACAGAGTTTTTTTTTTAAATGACTGATGAACTGCAACCCTCGCTTTTCTCTGGTACTCAGCACAGATCCGGGTCAGACATGTAATACTAAAGTAAGAAAAACGAGTTTACAAGACAATGGTGGTATATTGCAAGTACAATATAATCAGTAAAGAGCTTTACATGCTATGAAAGATTAGAGTATATTTTTTCAGAATTTCAATGTGCAATAACCAACAGTTGTGATATGAGTGAACGTGATTAGTCATCAAGTATC